TCACTTTTTGAGACCAAAAAAAAAAAAAAAAAAATTGGACTACACAAAATTTAAAACTTTTGTGCTTCAAAGAACACCATCAAGAAGTAAAAAAGAATCCCAGAACAGGAGATATTTGCAAATTCTGTACCTGATAAGGAACTATATTTAAACAAAGAACTATAAGTCAATAATAAAGATGTAATACAAGTTAAAAATGGGCAAAGGGTCTGTTCTATATAGACATTTCTACAACCCAGATATAGAAAAGGTCAACAGGTACATGAAAAGATGCACAATATCATTAAGTAATTAGGAGGTGGAAATCAACACCACTTTCACACCCACTAGAAAGGCTATAATCATAGACAGATCATAACAACTGTTGGCAAGGATGCAAAGAAACTGGAACCCTCATTTACTGCTACTGGGAATGTAAAATGGTGCAGCCACTTGAGAAAATATTCTTCAAAAAAGGTCTTCATAATGTTAAATAGTTACTACATGATCCAGCAATTTTACTTCCAGTTATCTACCCAAGAGCAAGAAAAACATGTTCACACAATCTGTACATAAACATGCATAACTGTAAGACTCAAAGAGCCCAAACCAACCTAAATGTCCATTAATTGACAAATGTATACTGGTGGTATATACATACAATGGAACATTACTCACCCATAAAAGGGGATGGAGTTCTGATATATAAAACATGAAATGAACCCTGAAAACATGCTGTCAAAGAAGTCTAACGCTAAAGTCATATATTGTGTTGATTTCCACGTCCTAATTACTTAATGATATTGTTCATCTTTTCATGCATTTGTTGGCCTTTTCTATATCTTGGTTGTAGAAATATCTATCTAGACAGACCCTTTGCCCATTTTTAAATTGTATTACATACATATTGTATGATGCCACTTAAATGAATTCTTCAGGATAGGCAAATTTATACAAAGAAAGTGGATTAGTGGTTTCCACAGGATAAAAGGGAGACCAGACAGGGAGAAATGGAGAATGACTACTAAAGTATAGGGTTTCTTTTTAAGGTGATAAAAAATGTTCTAATGGGCTGGGGATGTGGCTCAAGCAGTAGCGCGCTCGCCTGGCATGCGTGCGGCCCAGGTTCGATCCTCAGCACCACATACCAACAAAGATGTTGTGTCCGCTGAGAACTAAAAAATAAATATTAAAAATTCTCTCTCTCTCTCTCTCTCTCTCCCCTCTCACTCTCTCTTTAAAAAAAAAAATGTTCTAAAATTGATTATGGTGAGGATAGCAAAATTTTTTCAATATGTTAAAATACCACTGAATTTAATACTTTAAAGGAATGAATTGTATGGTATTATTCTCAATAGAGACATTTTTTTTAAATCCAGTTATATTTACTGTCTTTTTCAAAGTTCTAAGAAGGCAGGGACTTTGTTCATCACAYAGAATTCAGTACATAGAATAATACCCAGCACACAGTAGGCACYAAATTATAATCACTAAATAAAAGAATCTACTATGTATTTTAAAGACCTACAAAATTAGCCCAATCTATTGTAACATTTGTCTTCCTGTTTATTTTCTGACCTTCAAAACATATCAGTATCCTGCTGTTACTCCCTGCACTAATTGTGAATGCCAGCAAATTATTCAGTTGATTTTACCAGGCTGCTATATCTGAACAGTTTACCCTTTCTAAAAGATCTAAATCCACTCCTATACTATTAAGTTTCTTCCTTTATCCAATACTGTATTGAGTTGTTTCCACATATGGCTACTGAGACTAAAACTGAATCAAATTTAAAATTAAGTTCTCAATCCCATTTCAAGCCTGATATGGTCAGTAGCTACCATAGACACATAGACATCAAATATTTCCATTATTGCAGAAAGTTCTGACAGGCTGATGTAATCAACTTATTAGATATCTGCAATGTATTTTTTCATGGGCATCTCCAATGTGTCCAAATCATTCTTCATCTCTTCACCCTCCACCTTCAAATCAACTTTTTTATATTTTTCTATACTATAGCACTAACTACCCAGTTACCATATCAAAAGTCACCCTAAATTCCTCCTCTCCTTCATCCTGATCTAAATAGCAACCAATTCTTATATAGGTTTTTCTTCATTATTGAAACCTCTTCTATTTCTATTGCTAATATCTGGTTCAAGACCTTATCACTGCCCACCTGGATAACTGCATTAGTCAACAAGTCTTCCTGTCTCTATCCTTCAACTTCTAATGTACAAATCTGGCCATGTAAGTCCTGCCTAATATCTTTTGGTAATACTGCTCTTGGGAATACATGTAAAGCTTTGCATGCCATCATGCCTCCATTTTTCAAATCTATTGTAACTAGTTCAATCCTCAGTACCACATAAAAATAAATACATTAATTAAAAGGTTAAAAAATGCCTTAAAAAAATAAAGAAGTAAACTTCTTTATGCTTCCTCCCTCTCCAAATGAACACTACAGACTTCCACCTGGGTATTTATATGTGTTGTTTTCTTCYCTTAGACTTTAAGCTTATAGTAAGGAGGGAAAGATTTTATCAGATTCATCTTTATAAATCCAGCAAAATTCAAATGTTTACTATATAAATATGTAAGACCTTCCAAAACAAGAAGCCTATGAGAATATTCAACAGATATAAATGAAAACCATATTCAAGGGCTARGGTTGTGGGTTCAGTGGCAGAGCACTTGCCTAGCATGTGTAAGGCACTGGGTTTGATTCTCAGCATCACATATAAATAAATAAATAAAGGTCCATCAATAAAAAAATATATATTAAAAAATATATATATTCACCTCCATACCCTGTGTAACTCTACACACTCTTAAGTGCATGCTGGGATTGCTAAAATTGTCTAGGTGAATAAGGTACATTTCAAAAGGTAGTTTATTCTCACAGTTGATTTAAAGGGAAGCTTCTGGTCCCTAGACAGGAACTTGAACTCAGAAGACTGTTCCTCATGACTTTATTCCTTTCTCTTTCTTGAATTTATATTTACAGAAAGCATTCTTTTTTTGAGAGAGAGAGAGAGGAAAGAGAGAGAGAGAATTTTAATATTTATTTTTTAGTTATTGGCGGACACAACATCTTTGTTTTGTATGTAGTGCTGAGGATCGAACCTGGGCCGCACCCATGCCAAGCAAGCGCGCTACCACTTGAGCCATATCCCCAGCCCTACGGGAAGCATTCTTAAACTTGGTTTTTTGGGGGATTTTTTTGGTTTTATTTTGCACCAAGGATCCCTCCCCTGGTAAAGTGTATGTACCCCCCAACCCCTTTCTCAGAATGCTTTTAAAATGCATTAAATAAAATGAAAGGACTACAAAGAAAACAAATTTATAATATTTAATTCTAAACATATTTTAAAATTTAATAATAATGTATTTGTCCCCTTCTTAAAATAGCAAATAGGATATAGCATAAGGTATAGGAGCAACCATCATGATGAGCAAAAATAGATTAATACAATTGCAATTATAAGTTAACAGAAGGTAAAATATTTGTGATCTTTTAATTATAGTCATGAATACTGCTAATACAATGGGCAGTTTACTGCCTTTATAACTGAAAGAACTGCTCAATTTGTTAGACATTAGTGAAAATGAATGTGACTTTTCTCCTAAAGCATATTCACACACTCCTACAACTCCTTGTTAATTTCTGGCTTAAGGAAATAAATAGAAATATCAAAGATGACACTATGGATTATAAGATATGTCTAGCACAAGCTAATGTTTTAACTACGTTTACTTTTCTTTTTTTTTTTTTTTTTTTTTTTCTTTTCTTGGTCCTGGACTGAACCCACTGAATAACATCTCCATTGCTTTTTATTTCTTGAGACAGGCTCTAGCTAAGTTGTTGAGGCTGACCTTGAACTTGTGATCCTCCTTCCTGCCTCAGCCTCCTCAGTTGCTAGAACTGCAGGGCATGCGCCTTCGTGCCTGGATTTACTTTCCTTTTTAACATTTTGACATCTGCTAAAATTTCATTTTGTTTTAGGCTTGATGGAATATTAAAATAAGACTTCAGTAACAAACCTCTATGATGTGTACTTTTTTGGGGGGAGGGGGGTGGGGAACTGGGGACTGAACTCAGTGGCACTCAACCACTGAGCCACACTCCTCGCCCTATTTTGTGTTTTATTTAGAGACAGGTACTCAGTTGCTTAGCACCTCACTTTTTGCTGAGGCTGGCTTTGAACTCGAGTTCCTCCTGTCTCAGCCTCCCAAGCTGCTGGGATTACCGTGCACAACCACYCCCAGCATGTGTACATATTTGATGTTTCATTTTGTACATGCTTGGGTGGGGTTAAAAGAGGAAAACGTGGAAGCTAGAAAAGAAGGAAAAGGATTTACTCATGAAAATCAAAGAGAAAGCAATAGATCATAGGGTCAGAGGAGGGGAGGGAGGGAGAAAGTGCAGGGTAGTGATATTGACCAAATTATTCTGTTATATTTTGAACATAAGAATACTTATCAACAAATCCCACCATTATGTATAACTATAATGCACCAATAAAAAATGTGGAGGGGGGGGAGTTCTCATTCAACAACAAAAGGAGGAAAAAAGGGAAAAAAGTGATTAATACCTTGTCACCCTCACCCTGGAGCTAGACTCATGATGGCAGTAGCTATRCATGATTGACCAACACACTCATACTGATACTGAAAATGTTCATTTTATAAAAACTACCAATTTAAGAGTTGTGATACATTGGGGCTAGGGTTTATGGCTCAGCAGTAGAGTGCTTGCCCAGCACAAGTGAGGCACTGGGTTCAAACCTCAACACCACATAAAAATGAAATACACATAGTATGTTCACCTACAACTAAAAAATAAATATTTTTTTAAAAAGAACTGTCATACAGGGGCTGGGATTGTAGCTCAGCAGTAGAGCGCTCGCCTAGCACGTGCAAGACCCTGGGTTCGATCTTAAAATAAAGGTATTGTGTCCAATTACAACAAGAAAATATTTTTTAAAAAAGAACTGTGATACATATGAGCACATACCTGTAATAATTCCAGGGTCATGGGAATATTCTTAAGCTCTTTCAGCAAATCCAATGCTCCAGCCTATAAAATAGAATAATTTTATATTAAATTCCCATAACACTGAAGCAGGGACAAGCCAACTAAATCATTTACAATGACTCATTAATTCATGTGAGAACAAAGATAAACATATGCATAAACACATACACAGTATCTCTCAAATGAGGGTTGAAACTCATCAGAAGATCATAAAATCCACTTATGGATCCTAAATWATCACCAGTACTTTTGAAGTAGTTGATAGGGACAATTTTGTGAAAGTATTTGTTTATATGTGCATTCTGAACAGAAATATAAAATTTCCAAATTTCCATGGAGACTACCTGCCTGAGAAAGGAACCAACCTTGAGAAAGTGAGAGTGAGGTCCAAAGATGCTGCAGCCTCTCTATCATTCACCCATGTACAGAAAGTGTAGTAAAGGTTATCTCTGCTAAAATCATTTTTGTTATTATTTTTTAATTTGTTTTAATTAGTTATACCTGACAGTAGAATGCATTTATGCGTTGATATATCATACATAGATGGGATATAATTTCTCATTTTTCTGAGTGTACATGTTGCAGAATCATATTGGTCATGCATTCACATACATACATACATACAGTAATAACATCTGTTTTATTCTACTATCCTTCCTATCCCCACACATCCCCTCCCCTCCCCTCCCTTCACTTCCCTCTACCTAATCTAAGGTAACTCTATTCTTCTCTAGTGCCCCCCTCCTTATTGTGAATTAGCATCCACAGAGAAAACATTCGGMCTTTGGTTTTGTAGGATTGGCTTATTTTGCTTATCATGATATTCTCCAACTCCATTCTTAAAAATCTAGTATCTGAGTCTGTCACAAAAACACACTATTTTCCTGGTTCCTGCAAAGTAGATAAGAACTGAACCTGAAAGAAAATTCAAAATTAAGATCTATGTTAAGCCTATAATCCTATCCATTCTCAATTCTCATCTGAAGTCAAAAGCTTTACCACGAAAGATGAYAGAGGGAAGAAATAAGAGACTCATGGTAGAATAACAGAAAGCACCTAAATTTAAGAAAGGATGAGAACCAAGAGTACCACCTATAGTTTTTGGCCAAACATTTCAATTGGATACTTATTTAATATCATATTTCATGTCATACATGCACTTAATCATATTTTATTTAGAGTAATATTTACTTAATATACTATATTTAAACACATCATCAACTAGCAATAAAGGAAAAACTATTAAATTATGATACAAGTTTCTTAAAACTATTTTTAATTTTTKCTTACTAAAAGAATTTTTTAGACTTGAAATTTTTAATCATGTCACTTTATATATATATAAAATTAAAAATGAGCAAAACAAACTGGCTAAAGCATTCATTAAACTACTTCACATTCAGAAGTAGATGCTTATGAATCGTTTTTTTTTCACTCAGATTCAACATATTTGTTTTTAGCCCCCAAAGAATTTTATCAAAATACTAGTAATTCATAAAAGAATGCATAAAAGGGATAAGACCATTAGCCCTCAGGCTGCCTTTGTAGTGTGTAGAGCAATTTTTCACTTCCACTGCTGTTCATAAACATTTAGTCCCTCAGGGTTCAAGAGTGCTCCACTAACGTCTCTCAGATTTTCTTCTAAGCCAATGACATCCATTCCACAGGTTATGATACTGGGTTTGATGTTCTGCTTGTGAAAGTACATCACAACTGTCATCTGTCAACAATACTGGTAAAATCCTGCTTTTCAAAATAACTAAAATCTGAAAACTAGGTATCTTACAAATCAACAAAACACAGCATATGAGGAGGTGGGGGGACTCCCAGAGCATGCCCCTCACTACATACCATGAAAGAACAAGCAAGAACTTTCATGATATGCTATTTCCTAAATAAAAATCAAATAAAGGCTTCCACCTACATAATTGCTCCATTTGAAGTTGATTCACAGAATAAAACAACAATAACTTTTCTTCTGGCAACATAAATAAAGTTCATTTTATTTCATTTATTTTTTTCTTTTCTGTGTGGTGCTAGGGATTGAACTCAGGGCCTTGCACATGCTGGACAAGCTCTCTGCCACTGAGAATATATCCCCAGCCTACTTTCTATTTTATTGTATTTTGAGACAGGTTCTCCCTAAGTTGCCCAACCTGACCTCCAACTTGCAATCCTCCTGTCTCAGCCTCCCAAGTAGGTGGGATTACAGACATGCACACCACAGCATTCAGCTAGATCATTTTAACTTAATTCAGTACCTCATAAATAAAATTTTAAGTTCAACAGGAATGACAAAACAGGTTATTACAAAGGGTTTAATAATTCATTGCTTCCAGATACCTTTTGATCTTAAAATGCTATAAATTATTTTTATTCAGAGGCACTGAAAAACTGTTAGAAAAGAAAACCAACATCAACTTGTAATTTATTATTAAACAAAAATTTCTACAGAATTACACTATGGGGAACAACTGAGGTCTTCAACTGCTTATTTGCAAATCCCAAGACCAAAAACTTTCAAAAATCCAAAAAGTTATAGATTTTTCATAGGATTTTAATAACTCATTTGGTAGCAAAACCTAATCTCAGCAGATGTAAAGTTATTTATATTCTACTTATCCTACTTAAAAGTAAGAGTACTATATTTCACTATGGAAATGTTAATATCTGATTACTAAAAACTTCCCAGATTTAACTAGAGGGTGTTACATAATATGACAGACCATATTATTTTATAAAATCTGAAAAAATTGAATTCCTTAATAGATCAGACCACAAGGGCTTTAACAGATTGTGGACCTGTGTCCTCTATATACCAAGGGCATTACTCCTACCCACATCTCTACTGACTTTCTGATCCATTTCTGACTACAGATCAATTAGAAAGGAAGAAAAAAAATTATACTTCTAGGATTTTCTTAAAAAAGGAGTCTCTCTCCTGAGGCTTATATAATGCCATCTGGCATACTTAAAGTTGATTCTTCTAACACATCAGCAATATGACATTTGGTTTAGGTTGTTTGCCAAGTAGAAGCAGTAGATTGCATTAATTTCATTACTTTCCTTTCTTTTCAGGCCTCTTTAATGAGAYTGGTTTTAGAGATATATCTTGGCAGTAAGAAAAAAGCTACATTAACACATAAAAAACTATGACCGTTTTCTCATAATTACACTGTTTTCTAACCAACTGAGACAATATTTCAGTGCTGAAGATGTAACTTAGATATAGAAAGTTTGCCCAGCATGCACAAGGCCCTGGGTTCAACTCCTAGTAGTAGTAGTAGTAGTAGTAATAATAATAATGATGATAATAATAATAATATTTCACTTCAGTTTCTTTAAGAAACAACTATGATGATCTGAATGAGTGAAACTGGCAAAAAGCAGATGATTATTGCTATTAATTTAGTAACAACAACCTTAGGTATTTACTGTATGCCAGGTAGTGTGTGAAATACTTTACATGTATTATTTCATTCCACCTTCATATTAAATACTATGGACACAGGAAATCTGGTATCTTCACTTTGCAGATAAAAAAAAAAATGGAAACAAGAAGTGTTAAGAAACTTGAACGAGGTCATATGATTACTAACTAGAAAAGGTGAGATTTACCTCATTTCTATCAAATTATACTCCATTGCCTCTCAATAAATACTGATTACACTATGTACCAAGTGCTGTTCTGTTCCAAGCCAAGGATACAGCAGTGCACAAGATAGAAACCCTTTTAACTTCAGGAAGTTTTATTTTATTTTGATGCTGGGGTCTAAACCCAGGGCCTGACACTCTGCCACTRAGCTATTATACATATGAGTCCCAGGCAATTTTAAAATGAACAAAAATCTTTGAGTATCTACTTCAAATTCTCAATTATAAAGGGGTAAAAAAAAAGAAAAGAAAAACAACTTAAACCCAGAAATGGCAACTGACTTGCCCAATGTCACACCGGTGGGTAGTATAACAGCAAATACAAGAACTATAGTCTTCTGACTCTCACATTTCCACTTTCCATTCTACTACTCCACCAATGCTACTGGAAGTACTGCTCTGTGAACTCAAGTGAACAGCATTATCAAACAAGAAGCTGCATTCTAGGGCTGGGGTTGTAAGCTCAGTGGTACAGCACTTGCCTAGCATTTGTGAGGCATTGGGTTCACTCCCCAGCACCACAAATAAATAAATAAAGTTCTATCAACAACTTAAAAAAAAGAAATTTTTTTAAAGAAAAAGAAGCTGCATTCTATCCTTTCCCAATCATCACTTGCCTCCAAATGTCAAGTTGATTATATTGCAACATCTCTTATAGATAATGATGCAAGAGAAAGAAAGACTTGACTCTGTTACTTCCAAAGTCATATATTTAGTTCACAGTACTGGCTGAAAACTAAGCTATAGCTATCACACTATTTTATTACACTGTGGGTGCTTCTGTTAACAGAAATAAGTGCTTTTATAAAACACAGTATTCAAATTTGTACTGAGTGCCCAGTATGTACAAGACTATAAGATACAAACATTCCTCTCAAGGAGATTTAAAAAGGGAACAAGAAAGGCCTTAAAAAGTAAGAACATGGCTATATATTCAAATCCATACTCTTGTTTCCTAATTATATGACCTTGGGAATGTTACTTGTCCCCATTAAACTTCAACTTCTTTATAAGCATAATACACTGACAAGAGTAGGTAAAATGATCAAATGAGACAACAGATGAAGTATCAAAATAGAGAGGGCCTGACATATAGGAGACCATTAATAGAAGTGCAAAGATATAAAATTTATTTCTACCATAAAGAGCCATAAGGCAGCATTTTAAGTGAGCATATTTAAGTTCAATCAATTCAAACACTTTTCAGGATTTAAGATGAGACTGCAAGGTTAAAAAAATTAAGAGGTTATTCACATTTTAAAAAATAAAATACTAAATTATAAATTTTTGAGTTATAGCTCAGAAACACTACTATAAAATTAGGAATTCTAATTTCACTATACCACCTCAAACTTATAACTACACTACACAAGAAACATAAGCAACAAAACAAAAAATACATAAATTCAACTTCATCAAAATTAAGCTTTTGGGGGGCTGGGGCTGGGGCTCAGTGCCTAGCATGCACGAGGCTCAGCACCAAGAAAATGTAAATTAAAGGATCACAAGTTGGAAGTCAGCCTCAGCAACTTAGGGAGACCCTCTCTCAAAGTAAAATATAAAAACAGTACTGAGTTCAATCCCCAGTACCACAAAAAAAAAAAGTATCAGTACAGTGGAGTACTAGTAAACAAAAACAATCAAAAAGAAGTCACATTAGCCTTTAAAACATTATATACTAAGTGAAAGAAGCCAGTCATAAAAGACCACATGATTTCACTGATATGAAATTTCCAGAATAGGCAAATACTTAGAGACAGAAAGTATATAGTGGTTCTGGCCAGAGTTTTAACCTCCTAAATTCTCTTTTTTAGGATAAGAATAATACTTATCTTACAAAACTGTCTGAGCAATAAAAGAGCTAAGGTACGAAACACTGTACTTGGCAGAATACTTGGCTGAGTAACAGCATATCATTTATTGTGCTAAGTGTGACATCTACAGTTCTATTAAAACAATACTCAAAAACAGCACTTAAATTTGTTAAGTGAAATAACAACTATTACTCTTCAAGCAAAGTTTCCTCTCATCATATAAAAGTACAAAATATAACACATAAGAGAAAAATCCACACACCACGGGGGGGGAAATCTTCCTTAATTCTACAACCCCTCAAACAACTTCTGAACATTTTAGAAAGGAATCTGTGGGTTGATTCGGTACATTAGGGAGAGGGAAGGATTGTCACTCTGACCTTTCTCTTTATTTCATCAGCCTGTCTGAATTTCTAAAGGATAGACAGGAAAACGAAARAGAAACAAACAAAAACATTTTTAAAGCAAATTTTACCTGTCTTTGGGAGAGGGGGACAAGTTTTCATACTGGTTAAGTTTTGAACTATTAGAAAACTTATCTGACATGAAAAATTGGACTTGAAGATTTATCTGGAGTTTATTCTTATTCTCTCCCAGATGGATTTACTAAATATCAATCTGAGAACTGAAGATAAATACAYACTTCTCTTCTTCACACTTGTCCACTAAGGAATTTCTCATTTTAAGAAATATATAATACAAAGAAAGGGAAGATAGAAAAACAAATGCCTAATGTATTAGATGATTAAAGGATACACACATAACCTGAATTAAGAGGAAAAAAATCATATATTTTTCTCCCCATGGAAGCTTCTACAGTGAAAATCTTCAGAACTCCAGGAAGAGAAGAAATTTCCCAATTTCAAAATTTCAAAATAACAGAATGCTAAACCTATCAAATAACTAAAACTCATCACTTGCGGTGAAGAATTAAAAAAACAGCTGAATCAATTTTTAAAAATGGTACAAGTAATATTTGGAACAGAAAACAAACAGGAAATACTTAAAAGGCCAAACTTGCAAATACAGATTATCAGGGCACAAAATAAAATGCTGGGTAATGCACCTGTTGATGGAAAAAGAGGAACATAGGATGTTTGAAATCTAAAATATTTTGTGTTAACACTAATTCCTAATCTGGTGGTGATGTAGAAAGCACGCTGTACAGTAGAAAACCCAGTTCCTGGCTTAATCCAAATTCCACAGTACTTAGTTTAAATAGGAGCACTTAATGTCTCGGAGCACCCGTTTTTTTTTTTTTTTTTGTTTTGTTTTGTTTTGGTTTTTTTCCACAATAGTTTGACATAGAAAATGATTTCAGGCACATCCATAGTGAAAATGTGAACAAGGAGAAACACATTCGGGTGAAGACAGTCATGGAAGTTTGGCTAAAAAATGACTCTGAAGCCAAGGGCCTGAAAGTGGCACACAGAGGTCGACAAAAAGTAGAAACTGGTTGTAGGACGACCTCACACAAATGAGAACACGTTCACAGTGACACCAGTCAATAACAAGATAACACGACAGCCACTCAGAAAGTACCCAGAAACATTTGTCCAAATCCATCCCTGGTGAGGATGTGTGCTTTAATCACAGCTCTTTTGTACGCCAAGATCCACTTTTTAAAAATAATCATAATAATAATGTTTAGCCACTTGCATGAGACGGGCATTTTTTCCCTACCTTTTTAATTGCTAACCAAACCTGTAATGCAGTTTCCGTAACCAAACAGACGTTTAACCCTCTTCAAAAATAAGATCCCGGCGACTGACGTTTTAGCCCCTGATGTCTAAAACCGGTCAGATGCCTCCCTTGGAGGCAGTTTCTAGTGGCTGACCACCGGCCAGCGCCGAGTGTATTCTTCCCGACAGCGAGAGCTTTCTGGACTCTTGGATTCTTCTGCTACGTAAAGGAGGTTTTACGACCACTAAAAAGTTTCCAATCAGAAGAGAAGGTGCCCTAATTCCTAACCCGATCAGCCTCACTGCGCTGGACCAACAAGAAGGGACCGAGAACCGGCCTTAACGCMGGCGGCCGGGAGACCGCGCGCCCTCGCCTTTCCGCGCACTCGGGAGCGGTTGGCGCCGGGTGGCGGCGTCGAAGACTCCAGAGCCGGGTGTGAAGAGCCGAGAGAGCCCTCAGGGCCGCGGCCCGGCCGACGCGGCCTCCCTTTCAGCCCGCGCCCCGCGGCGCTCACCGCGTTCTTCTTCTGCACCATCTTGTCCATCTTCTTGGCAATACGAACCACCTCATCCTCCATGGCTCCCGCAGGTCTTCCCCACGCCCAGCCCGCTGGGGACGGAAAGCGGGCGAAGCTGGCGCTGAGGAGACGAAGGAAGCGAGCTCGACGCCCGGCAAACCGCTCTACAGCAGGCCGGGCCTAGGCCCTTCCTCACACACCAGGCCGGCGGCAGCGGCTACAGAGGCGGCGTCAGAGGCTCCTCCCCCTGAAGACAGCGCCGGTCGAACTCGGCGCGCGCCGTGCAGGCACTACCAATCGCCCGCCGATATCCGAGGAGGGGCGGGGCGAGCTGACTGCTGCCAGGCAGGCGTCGATCCAGGCGCCAGCAAAAGGGCGGCGGGCTAGTCACTCCGCCTGGCTCGAGCCAGTAGATACTGAAAGGTGGTGCATTTAGTTGCCGCCTTGGGCTGGGGCTCCGCCTCCTCACGGAGCCGGGGAGTTTCCCCTTCCCGCGTCTCCAGACAACCTGTAATGGTGGAAACCGCCCAGGTCCGTGAGTCTCCAAACTGAAGCCGGTTCTTCGAAAGGAACTTGGGCGGGCTTTAAAGTTTGTGAGAACCGGGGCACTTTCTCCACGGTAGACGCCTGTCGTGAAAAACACTCCCTCGTACCCACTGTTACACGTAATTGTATAAAGCGTTTCAAAAAAGCTACATCATTTCATAGTTACAGGATTCGTCAGCTCTGGAGAACTGAGACCCAATTTTGGAAATAGCAAGTTGAGTATAGTTGAATGACAGTTGACAGACACCCKATCAAAGAAACTAAGGCCTCCCTCACCTGCTTAATGGAAATCCACCGTCAGTGGTTAGAGACTAACAAAAAGCCTAGGTAGAAAAGGGACAGGCGTGCTGCTCATAGTGGAGCCTATAGGCTCCTTCGAAAGGATTTTGCCTAATTACAACCAACGCATGCTATTTGCAGTCATTATCCTAYTCGAAGTTTAATTATATTCATCAAAATCTACTGCCTAATCATATTTCTATACCGACAGAAGAGATTTTTTTCTAATTCTGACTCCCTCCTTTGCTGGGTGGGGTGGGGAGACGGAGTAGAATCATTTGGATCATTTCCCTCTTTATTTTATTTATTTTTTAAATTATTTTTCACTTAAATTATGGAAAGAATATGAGAAGTACCTGTTTCTATGGTATTTCTTGAATTTGTCTTAATGATTTTTATAAATATTCTGTGTCCGTCCTGAAAAGAATTTATATTCCATGAGGCAAATATGAATTTCTGTATGGACTCATCAGCCAGAAGTTGTATAGGTCCAATATTTATATTCCGGTTTGCTGTCTGCTTTGTGCATCAGTTAACGAATATGTTCTTTTAAAATTCCTTTTAGCCAGATACTGTGGCCCACACCAGTAATCCCAGCTAGTGGAAAGACTGGAACAAGGAGGATCCCAAATCTGAGGTTGGCCTGGATAACTTGGTGAGATCCTGTCTTTTAAAAAAAAAATGAAAAGAGCTTGGGATGTAGCTCAGAGCACTGCCTAGCATGTGCAAGGCACTGGGTTCCAAGGGGAAGGCATGCCTTTAATAATTGTGTCATTTTGGTTCTTCCCCCCGCCCCCACCCCCCCATGAAACTGTTCATTGTTTTTTTTGTTGTTGTTGTTTTGTTTTGTTTTGTTTTTTACTGTGGTTACAATGCATATAAAATTTATCATTTTAGGGCTGGGATTGTGGCTCAGAGGTAGATCGCTCTCCTAGCGCATGGAAGGCCCTGGGTTTGATCCTCAGCAACACATAAAAATAAATAAATAAGATAAAGATATTGTGTCCAATTACAACTGAAAAGTAAATATTAAAAAATATCATTTTAGCTATTTTAAAGTGTACAATTCAGTGGTATTATAAAAATAATAGCCATCTCCACAAGATAGTTCCCAAAATTTTTCCAAAAGTGTTCATCACCTCAAAAAGCAGCCCTATGCCAGTTAGGCATTCACTCTTGACTCTGTCTTCCTTCCAACCTTGGCAACCACTACCATTTCATATAATGGAATCAAACAATATGTCACCATTTCTAACTGGCTTCTTTCATTGAGCATAATGTTTTCAAGGTTTACCTACACTGCAGCATGTATCCATATTTCGCTCCTTTTTATGACTGAATAATATTGCATTATGTGTATATACCATGTTTTGTTTGTTAAATTAATGGACATATGAGTTGCTTCTACTCCAATTTCATTCACATTTTCACTCTTGTAAGTAATGCTGTTCTGAACATTGTTGTACAAGCTTTTGCATGAACACCTGTTTTCACTCCTATGGGAAATGTACCTAGAAGTGGTATATATGCTGGATACATATGTACCTTACCAAATGCTGAGTCCTTTTGTAATCTATATTTAAATCGGAAGAACTGTCAATCTGTTGTCCACGACAGCTGCACATTTCACATTCCCACTTGCAGTGTACTAGAGATCTGATTACTCCACGTCCTTATCAACAATTGGTTTTGTCCATTTTTAAAATTTTAACCATCCTAGTAGGTGCTAAGTGGTTTTCTGATTTTAATTTGATTCGTATTTCCCTAACTACCAATACATAATGTTTGACAAATGTTAATGTATTTTTTGGTCATTTGTATATTTTCTTTGCCCAGTTCTTAACTGAGTTCTCTTTTTCTTGTTGAATTGTAACAGTTCTTTTTTATATTTTGAACATTAGATATATGATTTGTAAACATTGTTCCCATTCTGTGTTCTCTTGTTAGTGACCATTCTTGTACAAATCTTTCCATTTTATCAAAGTCCAATTCATCTATTTTTTGTTGTTGTTGTTGTTACCTTGTGCTCTYAGGGTCGAATCTCAGAAACAATTACCAAATCAAAAGTCATGAAGACTAACCATTGCCATTTTAACAATACTAAATATTCCAGTCATTTTAAATGAGATGTCTTTTTCCATTTATTGAAATGTAATTTAATTTTTGGAAAATTTTTTGTAATTTTCAGTGTATGACTTTTTTACCACTGACTAAATTTATTCGTAAGTATTTTATTTTTTGGAATGCTATTACAAATGAAACTGTTTTTTTAGTTTCCCTTTCAAATTGTTTATTGCTAGTGTACACAAATACAACTAATATTTTGGGGTTATTGTTTTATCCTTTAAATTTGCTAAATTGGCTTATTAGCTCTAATACATTTTGTTTTTTGTTTTGGTACCGAAGATTGAACTCAGTTGTGCTATATCACTGAGCTACATACCACCCCTTTTATTTATTTATTTACTTTTATATTTTGATACGGGGCAGTGAACTCAGGGGCTCTTTACCACTGAGTTACATTCCCAGTTCTTTTTAATTTTTAATTTTGAGATAGGATCTCACTAAGTTGCTGAAGCTGACTCCAACTTGTAATCCTTCTGCCTCAGACTCAGTGTCTTGGTTTACAGGCATGTAGGACCAAGCCCATACAAGAAAAATAAAACTCTTTGCTTTTATAGCAATTTTTTATTTCCAGTATGTTTTGTCTTTTACTTGTATAGTCACCCCCAGCTCACTTTTTGTTGCTATTTTCACAGAACACCTTTTTTTTCTATTCTTCTACTTTTAATTTATTTGCATCTTTAGATCTAAAGGGTGTCTCTTGTAGATATCATATAGTTTTATCTCTTTTTTTAAAAAAAATCAATTTTACCAATCTCTGCTTTCCAATTGAATAGTTTAATCCTATTATGCGCTAAATGTTTGGGTTCTCATTCCTAAATTTGTATGTTGTAGTCCTACTCTCAAAGTGATAGTATTTGGAGATGGGGACTGGGAGACTGTTAGGTTTTGATCAGGTGATCAGGGTGGGACCATCATGATGGATTAGTGCATTTACAGGAAAAGGAATTTGCTGGGCACGGTGGCACATGCCTGTAATCCCAGTGGCTCAGGAGGCTGAGCCAGGAGGATCCTGAGTTCAAAGCCAGCTTCAGCAAAAGCGAGGCGCTAAGTGACTCAATGAGACTCTGTCTCTAAATAAAATACAAAATAGGGCTAGGGATGTGTCTCAGTGGGCAAGTGGCCCTGAATTCAATCCCCTGTACCTGTCCCCCCTCAAAAAAAAAAAAAAAAAAGAAAGAAAAGAAAAGGAAGAAATACCTCTCCATAAGCACACATGAAGAAAGACTACATGGATACACAGTGAAAAGGAGGCATGTACAAGCCAGGAAGTAGGTCCTCAATAGATGCTAAATCTACCTGCACCTTCAACTTCTAGACTCCAGAACTGTGAGAAACAAATTTCTGTTGTTTTGCTTACCCAGACCATTATATTTTGGTATAGCAGCCCAAGTAGACTAAGTCAGATCTATCTAAAGTGATTGCTAATACAGATTCTACCATTTTGCTCATTGTTTTTTGGTCCTCAATTGCTTCTATTACTTCCTTCTTTACTGATCCAGTTTTAATACTATGCCATTTTATTCCTTTCTCATTTCCTTTTTTTTTAATTTTATTTTTTTTATTGGTTGTTCACAACATTACAAAGCTCTTGACATATCATATTTCATACATTAGATTGAAGTGGGTTATGAACTCCCAATTTTTACCCCAAATGCAGATTGCAGAATCACGTCAGTTACACATCCACAACCTTTCTCATTTCCTTTTATAAATATTTTTAAATTTCTTTCTTAGTGGTTACCCTGAGGATTGTGATTAACATATTAAATTTATAATAATCTTGTTTAAATAATACCAGTTTAATTTCAATAATATGAAAATTCTCTACTCCTATACATTTCCATACTTCCTGTTTTGTGTAGTCTCAAATTGTCTCAAATTAAATATCTATACAATGTTTGCCCATCAACAGATTTATACCTAATGTTTTATGCATTTTGTGTTTTAAATTACATGAATTAATAAAAAGAGGAATTACAAGTCAAAAATATAACACTGATACTTACATTTCCCTATGTAGTTAGCAATAAACTCCTTTAGCTTCTTTCAGTCTATTAATTTCTTAATTTTCCCTTAATTTTGAAGGATAGTATTGCCACAACCAGCATGACCAAATTAGTAGGTTCCAGCAAGAGGCAATGGAGGATTAGAAAAATAAAGACTCGCATAGGCAGATTTCATGATAACAGCCCGGGATCCGGTGGATCTCTCTGAGGGAAAAGCAGGTCTAAAGAATTATGCCAGCAATCTTTATATATGTCTCATTAATCAG